AGCCAATGAGCGAGTCACGTGACAGCGATAAAGAGCGAGGCGGGGCGATGGGCGCACAGCGGGAGGGAGGAGAGTTGGATGGTGAAGAAGAAGATGACGACAATGAAGATGACGACGACGATGCTGATGATGATGACGTTGATGACGATGATGATGGTGGTGGTGGCGGCGGCGTTGTTTATGTTGTTGCCTGGCGGCCTCTGCTTACTCGGTCTCGCCGCCTGTGCTGAGAACGGCGCAACGGGTCCAGCAGCAGCAGGAGCAGGAGGCGAGTGATGTTGGAGTCTAACCACTCACCCTCACCACTCACCCTCACCACTCGCGCTCCCACTCACCCTGGTGGGGAGGGTGGGAGGGGCTGGGTGGGGAGGGTGGGGAGGGGCTGGGTGGGGAGGGTGGGGAGGGGCTGGGTGGGGTGGGGGAGGGGCTGGTGGAGGGTGGGGGGGCTGGGTGGGGAGGGTGGGGAGGGGTGGGTGGGGAGGGTGGGGAGGGGCTGGGGTGGGGGGGTGGGAGGGGAGGGGCTGGGTTGGGAGGGTGGGAGGGGCTGGGTGGGGGGTGGGGAGGGGCTGGGTGGGGAGGGTGGGGCTGGGTGAGGGTGGGAGGGGTGGGGCTGGGTGGGGAGGGGCTGGTCACCCCGTGGTGCCCTTATAAAACTCAACGTTTCACCTACTCACGCCGGCTTGTGCCCGCCCTCACAGTCTGGCATATTTGCGGAATACACCACGTTGCCGTTGACCCTGCAGGCCATTGACCGAGCAACCCGACGTTCCTACCAGCTCCCTCCGCAGGACAATGTGTTCCCTGGTGGGCAGTGTGGAGCCTGTTGTTCCTACCTGTAATATTCCGATCGACTCGTGTGGCGGCGGTGGGGGGTGGGGGGGGATTCATTGTAATTGTTACAGGACCAATGATTGTGGAGCGATTTGTCCTGTTGCTTGTTAATTTTGTGTGTGTAGCTACCCGGGGCACGCTTTCTTTACCCGACTGCTAGAGAGAGATGTGGATGTCAGGGCGTGCACTACCCTGCCGCTGAATGTATTTTGTGCTGTTTCGTACTATTATTTCACAGCTACTGGAAGGTTTTCATGATGATGGAATTTTGCTTGAATTTCATTCATCTTTCAAGAAGCTTTTTTCACCACTAGTTTATTTACGTCCCTAAACAGAGGGTTTTTGTTGTTGTTTCACCACGCCTACGGTGGTTTCAATTTTGTTTTTACATCGTTGGAATTGTAAGGCTCCCCGCTTTTGCTTTTGGTAGGACCCAGCGCGGTCGTGGGAGTCCAATTCTTCGTGCTAATTGAAAGTGCACAGTCAATAATTGAAGGCGTCTCCTTACAAAACAAGTTGAGCCCCCCCCCCTCCCCACACACCACACAACTGCAGCAAGAGTCATTGACTAGCTTGTATTTTTCACCCCTGGCTTTATTCTCATCGTTTTCATGTTGCAGTGGTTTCTGACGTTTCTCCCAATTACCACGACTTCACGGTGACACCCCCCCCTCCGCCCGTCACCCTCCACAATCCCAACCCGACCCACAGCCCCACCTCCGCACCCCCACAAAACATCGTGTGCGTGGCCCTCAGCTCCAGCAGCCTGCTGGTCAGCTGGGAGCCGCCACCCGCACACGACGGCGGCAGCAGCAGCAGCATCACGGGGTACACGGTCGCATACAGGGAGCTGCCCAGCCAAGGCGCAGACGCAGCAGACGACCAACAAGGGGACACACTAGCTGACGAACTATGGGACGCACCAGCTGACGCACTAGCTGACGCACTATGGGACGTACTAGCTGACGAACCAGCTGACGCACTAGCTGACGCACTATGGGACGTACTAGCTGACGAACCAGCTGACACACTAGCTGACGCACTAGCTGACGAACCAGCTGACGCACTTGCTGATGAACCAGCTGACACACTAGCTGACACACTAGCTGACGCACTTGCTGACGAACCAGCTGACGAACCAGCTGACACACCAGCTGACGCACTAGGGGACGCACTAGCGGACGAACCAGCTGACAAACTAGCTGACGCACTAGCTGACGAACCAGCTGACACACCAGCTGACGCACTAGGGGACGCACTAGCGGACGAACCAGCTGACAAACTAGCTGACGCACTAGCTGACGCACTAGCTGACAAACCAGCTGACACACTAGCTGACGCACTCGTGGACACACTAGCTGACGCACTATGGGACGTACTAGCTGACGAACCAGCTGACACACTAGCTGACGAACCAGCTGACGCACCAGCTGACGCACCAGCTGACGCACTTGCTGACACACTAGCTGACGCACTAGCTGACGAACCAGCTGACGCACTTGCTGACGAACCAGCTGACGAACCAGCTGACACACCAGCTGACGCACTAGGGGACGCACTAGCGGACGAACCAGCTGACAAACTAGCTGACGCACTAGCTGACGAACCAGCTGACACACCAGCTGACGCACTAGGGGACGCACTAGCGGACGAACCAGCTGACAAACTAGCTGACGCACTAGCTGACGCACTAGCTGACAAACCAGCTGACACACTAGCTGACGCACTCGTGGACACACTAGCTGACGCACTATGGGACGTACTAGCTGACGAACCAGCTGACGCACCAGCTGACGCACCAGCTGACGCACCAGCTGACGCACCAGCTGACGCACCAGCTGACGCACTATGGGACGTACTAGCTGACGCACTAGCTGACGAACCAGCTGACGAATCAGCTGACGAATCAGCTGACGCACCAGCTGACGCACTAGCTGACAAACCAGCTGACGCACTAGCTGACAAACCAGCTGACGAACCAGCTGACGCACCAGCTGACGCACTATGGGACGCACTAGCTGACGCACTAGCTGACGAACTAGCTGACGAACCAGCCGACGAACCAGCCGACGCACCAGCTCACGCACCAGCCGACGCACCAGGGGACGAAGCGAACGTCACGGGCGGGCGGCCGAGCGGGGGAAGGGGTGGCTGGTGCCGGACGCCGCGGCAGCCCGCGGACGTGAGGAGCGTGACGCTGAGCGGGCTGCTGCCCGAGGGGGCCCTGTACGAGGTGACGGTGCGGGCCCACACGGCGGTTGGCCCGGGGCTCTCGTCACTGCCCGTCCAGGCGCGCGCACACCACCACGGTACGTCAAGGGGGGGGGGGGGCGCCGCTGTGTTCCACGCCGTGGCCGTGCCGGCCGGACCGACACCCTGACGTGGCTCTTGAGTGTTTCCCCTCCTGGTGGTGGTGCCTCTGCAGCTACTGCTGACGGCTGTGTCTGGCCAGAGTCCTCCTCCTCCTCCTCTCTCGGCTTTCTGCGCTGCGGCTCTCGCGCGCCAGTTCTCCGCGGCGCTGCTCCACGCCGCTGCGCTGAGCCGCTTTGCGGGTTCCGTTTGTGTGTCTGTGTCTGTCTGTGTGGTTGTCTGTGTCTGTCTGTGTGGTTGTCTGTGTGTGTGTGTGGTTGTCTGTGTGTGTGTCTGGTGTCTGTGTGTGTGTGTGTGGTTGTCTGTGTGTGTGTCTGTGTGTCTGTGTGGTGTGTGTGTGGTTGTCTGTGGTGTGTGTGTGGTGGTGTCTGTGTGTGTGTGTGGTTGTCTGTGTGTGGTTGTCTGTGTGTGTGTGTGTGTGGTTGTCTGTGTGTGTGTGGTTGTCTGTGTGTGTGTGGTTGTCTGTGTGTGTGTCGTTGTCTGTGTGTGTGTGTGGTTGTCTGTGTGTGTGTGTGTATGTGGTTGTGTGTGGTTGTCTGTGTGTGGTTGCCTGTCTGTGTGTGTGTGGTTGTCTGTGTGTGTGTAACGGGGAGTGGTGGTGTCGCGGTTTCCCCGTGTCTCCCCAATCCCGTAGCTGCCACCACGCTGCCCACCTCTCGTGGCTCCTCCCCACACTCGTCCGTGATGTCTACGGGAGACGAGCCGACGTTCCGCGCCAGCGGCATCAGCGCCTCCTCCATCGGCTTCCTGTGCGTGGTGGTGGTGATTGCGCTGCCTTCCGTGGTGGGGTGCCTCGTGTGGGGCCGACAGAGCGCCTCCAAGCGTCCCGGTGAGTGGCGGGGGCATTGCGGTGCCTACGCAACGTTGACTCCCTCGCCCGGTCCGCGGGAGGTCAAGGGTTCTATCCCGACCCTTGCGCTGCCCGCTGCTGTTTGCGTCTCTCTCCCCGTGGATTTCTCTCGGGGCCCTGCGGTCCCCCCCACCCCCCCTCCACGTTCGGAATCGACGTCTCCACGCGTTCAGAGTCATTTGGTTGCTGCTGCTGATGCTGTTGCTGCTGATGCTGTTGCTGCTGATGTTGTTGTTGCTGCTGCTGCTGCTGCTGCTATACATTTGCCACCCAACGACAATGACGACAATAAGCCACCGAGTGAAGCTGTCACTTGTGATAGCCGGTGAAGCTTCTACAAAACAAGTTGTGACACAGCCACTTAGTCAGGCTTAGTGTCACGTAGACAGAACGTGCCAACGACTTACTAGTTGATAGTGTATATAGTAGTGTAGTGTATACTAGTGTGTTGTGTAGTGTATACTAGTGTAGTGTGTAGTGTATATAGTAGTGTAGTGTATATAGTAGAGTAGTGTGTAGTGTATATAGTAGTGTAGTGTATACTAGTGTAGTGTGTAGTGTATACTAGTGTAGTGTATGTAGTAGTGTAGTGTATATAGTAGTGTAGTGTATGTAGTGTGTAGTGTATATAGTAGTGTAGTGTGTAGTGTTGGAGAGTAAACCCACCACAACATTCGTCAATTCGAGTACCTGGTGACACTTCACCGGCAATTACAACGACGATGACAACAACCACAACCGGCATCATCATCAATGCTGCTGCTGGTTGTTGTTGTTGCATTTCGGGAAGCGTCGCAGAGTTCTGTGCGTCTGTGAGGTTTTTCTCGGCGTGGTCTTTCCCCAGCGGACGGGCGAGGAGGGAACGCCCAGAGCGTGCTCCCCAAGAGCGATGCCGAGTGCAGGTAGCCAACACAACTACCACCAACACCAATACCACCGCCACCAATACCAACACCACCACCAATACCAACACCACCAACACTTACACCACCACCAACACCACCGCCACTAACACCACCACCACCAATACCAACACCGCCACCAACACTACCACCACCGCCACCAACACCGCCACCAACACCGCCACCGCCACCAACACCAATACCGCCACCACCACCAATACCGCCACCAACACCGCCACCGCCACCAACACCACCAACACCACCTACACCTACGCCGCCACCACCACAGCCACCAACACCGCCAACAACGCCGCCGCTACCAACACCGCCACCTCCACCACCACCACGGTGGAGCAGAAACAATCAGAATTTTAGGACCTTGCCCCCCCCCCCCCCCCCCCCGGTTGACGGTTGACACCGCCGGATGAAAGCCGCTCCCCAAATCACCGCCGCCACACCACGTGGGGCGTGGCGGCGACGCCATCCGTCTGGCTCCTGCACCATCACTCCGCGGTGGCTCGGAGATGTTGACTACCTCGCCTGGCACGCAGGAGGTCGTGGGTTCGACCCCTGACGATGCCTGCCGCTTGATATTTGGAGTTTGCGGCGCCTTCAGAAGCGGCTCCTGTCGATGCGCTTCGTGCGTTCAGTTTGTCAACCTTCACCCGAACCTCCGAATTAGAAACGGTTTGTCTACGAGCGGTGCGGAATAACGAGTTCAACGTACGCGCACGCTCGTGCACTGGGTGCGTGCGTATCGCACTCGCGCGAGGTACGTGCGTCTCACCATCGCCTACTTTCTCCGCTCCCTCCAATGGCTACGGGCGCGGTGTGCTGGCCGGGGATCGCTACAGCGGCGGCGTGGAGATGACGAAGCTGCAGCACGTGGTGGTGGTGGTGGTGGAGGAGGAGACGTGAGGGGAGGAGGCGATGGTGGTGTAATAAAAGACGGCGTCATTTACTGCTGGTCTCCGCTTGTCTTTTATTCAGGTTCTTCTCCGCACCCCACTGGTCTCCTCCGCGGACCAGCGTCGTCTCCTCTCGCGCGCCCCGCACATACTCCCTCCTCAACTCCGCCACTCATCCTCACGCCCGCTGCTCCTGACAAGGGACCAGTGTCTCCTCTCGCGCGCCCCGCACGCGCTCTCCCGTCAGTCGCTCCGCTCCTCCCCGCTCCGCACACCGCTGGCCGACGGTGTGCCGAAGCCCCGTCAGCCACGTGGCTGATGGGGCGGCGGCCACCCCACGTGGTCCCGCTTCTTCACTCCATCGACTGGCCCCGATCTCTCCCGGGCTCCCCTCTATAACCTCTCTCCCACGTGACCCCGACTCCTCCCCTTCCTGATCGTCACATGTGGGCTGGTGTAACCAGTGGGTTCCTACCAGTACAAATACTATGACCCTGGCGCTGCGTCTCTCTCCACGCCTCTGCCCAATGGCGGCGCTTTTGCTCAAACTTCCAAAATCCCTTTGGGTGTTAAGCCTTATTCTTCATTTAATAATAATAATAGTACAATTTGTAACGCGCGCAAATTTGCAGACGTAGTGGCCGCACCTCCTTCAAGTTGCCAAGTCGTGTCTTCAATTGTTTTTGCCTCGTGTCTTTTCCCCCCAACATCTCGTCCTCGCTAAACCTCACGGAAGCTCATTCATATTCCATCAGCCATTGTCCCCTTGACACGAGTTTGACATCGAACGAGAAGTAGGGCTGTGTGCAGTGAACCCTGCACTTGTTTCCGTCTGTACGACGATGTGATCTTTCACCGTGACGACGACCTTTGTAAATGTCATCGCAACAAAGGGATTTTATAAGATAACAGGTTTATTGTGAAATAAGTCAACACAATAAACAAACATGAAAACACGATGATGATATGTTTGTTTAGGGATTGACTTGAATTGTTTTCTGACTATCAAATGTGTTACCTCTTTAATCTCATGATCTGGAGCTTGTATCACTCTCCATTGAGCTGTAGCAGGGATGAAACAAATAATACATCTTCCCTGCCCATCCTCAGCCTGCCGTGTCGATTACAGGAGCACAGCTGTCGGATTGTTTACATTGTTGCGATTTTATTCATAAATAAATAAAAAATTAACCCGTAAAAACAAAGTTTTTCACTATAAATCCTTTATATGCGTGGCATCGGGGCGGCTAGAGTCATCTCGTCCTCTGGCTTGAGATGGCTGCCACCTATGGGTCAGATGATTGTCTGGCAGCATTAAACAATTGGTAATTAAATATGTATTTTCCCCTAAACAGTGTAAAATTTTGCAGTCTCGAAGTCATCTTCTGCACGTGTCACTACTCTCACCTGTCTCCATGCTGCACGCACTTCTTCTGCCTCACGAGCTTCTCATCGTTCAACAGAAAGTGTGACAACGCGTACGATACTGAAGATAAAAACTCACATTGTGGAAGGTCAAATCCAGACGTGACTGAGCCAATGTCTATGGCAGCTGTGTCTCGCGATGAATCACTTCCAGTAGCTGATCGAGCTGCCCTGACTTGTGCACACAAAGGACTGCTCTTGTCAAGGACTCTCATCACTTAATTTGGAGCTTTCGTGACTGCAGGAATTATTCTTTGGTTCTTTCGGTAAAGTGACGTATAAAGATAAAATAATAAAATAAATTAAATACTAGCATACGACGTTTCGATTGCAACACAAGCAATCATCATCAGGTATAAATTAAATAGAAACACAAATCTAGTATACTTAGAAATGTAATGTAATACAACAGAGAGTCGGATAACATAACAGTCAACACCCTACCTGGTTGATTACGTTCTTCCTGAGAATGCTAAATTTGAGAGAGAGATTATGTTTCTGGTTCTGTGTTTGATCTCTCTCTCAAATTTGGCATTCTCAGGAAGAACGTAATCAACCAGATAGGGTGTTGACTGTTATGTTATCCGACTCTCTGTTGTATTACATTACATTTCTAAGTATAATAGATTTGTGTTTCTATTTAATGTATACCTGATGATGATTGCTTGTGTTGCAATCGAAACGTCGTATGCTGGTATTTAATTTATTATTTTATCTTCATACGTGACTTTACCGAAAGAACCAAAGAATACTCTCATGACGTGTCATGCCTGCGAGCTCATAGACATTGTGACAGCAGGAGAAGGTCGCTGTTCCTCTCGTGTCCTTGGGCAGCGATGTCGCAATGCCGGGATACGTTGCTGGCGAGCGTCTATTGCGCACACGGTGACACAGGCACCAGGTACCCAAAGCCAACGTGGACTTCTTCACATTTGAAGTCCCAAACAGCACGGAACACTCATTCATATGAGGCAGATGACCTTGAGAAGGAGCATGCCAGATACCAGAAGCCAAGAACGGCACCTGTTTTTTAAAAAATCCTTTATATTAAGTTCACTTGCTTGCTTGCGTGATTGCGTGCGTGCTTGCTTAGGACCGTGCAAATCTTCCAGTCGTTTTTTAACCCACTTCCCGTGATCCAATCGAGCTGACATTTTCCACACAGACTCGTTGTGCGTGACGATTAATTTTCGTGAAAAAAATTCCCAAATTTTACACTGTTTAGGGAATTTTTTAAAAAATATTTAATTACCAATTGCTTAATGGTGGCAGACAATCATCTGACCCATAGGTGGCAGCCATCTCAAGCCAGAGGACGAGAGGACTCTAGCCGCCACGCATATAAAGGATTTAAAGTGAAAAACTTTGTTTTCACGGGTTAATTTTTGCAAGGTTTGAATTACAATACTCTGTCCAACACACACTCGTACACCCTTAGCCTCGCTCACCCACATAAGCATTACACATTTTCAAAAGAACCCCTGTGCGGCCGATGCTGACTGTGCTGACTGTTGGGGCAATGCGATTTGCTGGTAGTCGTGAAGGCTGCAATGGTGGTGGGGTGGCCAGCACCACGCCTGTCTCCCCAACGCTGAAGCTGACGTCACACGCCGGCTACTTACTCACTTAAGGCTCAAAGCCAAGGGAATGCCCAGGAACGGTTCCTATATTTGCAACCGAGTTAGAAGTGGCTGCTGGACATTTGTATTCAGATCACCACGTTTGTAGCGCATTTCACTAACCAGCACGCCACATGTCTGCCCGCCCCACATACACAGAGGCACACTATCAGTATGCAACCGAGGAGGCAAAAGATGAGCCGGGCCAACTTGTATTGGCACACAGCGGGGTTAATCGAAAGAGCATCATCATCACGGTGCCTAGGAGATGTTAACTACCTCGCCTGGTATACAAGAGGTCGTGGGTTCGATCCCGACTAACGCCTGCTGCTGTATATTTGAAATCTGCGTGTCTCTCTCTCATCATCATCACGGTGGCTAGATGTTGACTACCTCGCCTGGTACACAGGAGGTCGTGGGTTCGATCCCGACCCTGATGCCTGCTGCTGTATATTTGGAGTTTGCGTGTCTCTCTCATCATCATCATCATCACGGTGGCTAGGAGATGTTGACTACCTCGCCTGGTATACAGGAGGTCGTGGGTTCGATCCCGATCCTAACGCCTGCTGCTGTATATTTGCAGCCTGCGTGTCTCTCTCCCCGTGGCCACGTGGATTTCTCTCCGGGTTTTCCCTCCACATTTAGAATCACAAGGCCCTCAAGAGTGTGTGCATGCTTTAATTTCACCGGTGGGGTAAAATGTGGGTGGTGGTGGTCAACATTTCCGACTGGATATCTGTGATGAAGAGCTTCACAGCTCATCGGATTCCTCCAAGATACATCATCACCGAGTCTGTGTAGTCCCACCTCTCCTAAAACAAAGTATCGGCCAGCGTGGAAGAGTAGGCCAAGTTACATCCCACGGAGGCTCTCTCTCCAGAGCTCCCTCGAGAAAACCTTCTGTCGCAGCGGTGACGCGAGCACTTGCAGGACTGCACCTTTACCCATCGGCATTAGCTGCTTGAAGTCTGCTCCTGTGACCGGGTTACACGTCAACATCGCTACGAGTGTATTTGGGTGAAGTTATTTTTATAACGGCCGAACGTACACACACGCAATGCGCATGCATCGTGTGCATGCGTGATCAACATACGTTGTGTGTGTCGATATAACCCAGTCAGTAACAGACACACGCTGTCATTCACGACGACATTCACTCCCCACCCCCCTTCTGGTCTGCACAACTGATTGCCGAGTTTGTGTTTCGCAATCAGAAGAGGTGTTTGGTTCGTTACTGGAGAAATCTGCCGAGCCACGCGGCTTATTTGTGTTTATTTACACAGATTTCCGGCAAGTTGCAACAAAGAAAGTGACACAAACAACAGCTTATGCTCTGTGTGTTGAACTTCTTTCGCACCGTACGTAGCCCAGCCGCGCTGATCCACTCGCTGTTCACTACTCACGATGTTTGTCGTTTGGATTTGCTGCCGTTTAGTTATTTGAGCGGCGCCTCAACGCTGAAGGTCACAGGCAGTCTCAGTCCAGGGCCGTTCAAATAAGTGACTTTCATAGTCTTAGTTCTTTCGGTAAAGTCACGTAGAAGGGGAATAATAAAATAATGTAAATATAAAACAATACAATTTCTCACGTTTCGACTGCAACACAAGCAATCATCATCAGGTGTGAAATCCACAGCAAGAACATTTTAAAAATGTTTTTTGTGGATTTAACACCTGATGATGATTGCTTGTGTTGCAGTCGAAACGTGAGAAATGTTATTGTTTTAATATTATATTATTTCCCTTCTACGTGACTTTACCGAAAGAACCAAGAATATGAATCCCTGCAGTCACGAAAGCTTTAAATCGAAATTTAAGTGACTTTCATTTGACCGACGTCGCACGTACAAACACACTGGGCTCGCAACGTGACGCCAATCATTGACTCAGAAGGTCAAACAACCCAGAGGTCACCGGTCCGTCACCCGCCGTCGCTACGGCAGCTGAACCAATGGACACGTTTCTCAAACGCGCCCAGCCACCACCCGGTCCAGTCGGTGGGGTAGAGTGTGGGCTACCCCCACTACTCTGGTGTGTTCTCCCACGGCGTCTGTAGACGTCAGCGTGGAAGAGTAGGCCAAGTAGCCCATCGAGGAGCTCTGTCCAGAGCTCCTCAGAGTGGGAAGGCCGTTCTGCCAACAAGAGCCTGAGTAGGGGAATTGCAGGGACCGCGCCTTTATCTTCTTTTATCAGCGGATGCTTTGAAGTGAATTGTCAGTGGCGGATCTACAATTCCTTACTGGCTGTCGTGTGTGGCGTAGTGTGTGTGGCGTGGCGTGTGTGTGGTATGTGTGTGTGTGTATCTGTGGTGTGTGTGGGTACTTTAAACGTACACCCTGTGGTTCGTGAGCCAAATCCTTAGCAAGTTTCATCCAGACACACAGATAAAGAGACAAAAATGACTTTTATAGGTGAGACACTGCATACAAGTGCAGTGCGAAGTCGTGTGAAGTAGTGGATTCAGTGTGACGCGGCTCGCAGGGAAGGGTGCGACGGACCTCGCTGTGAATCCCAACAAGCGCCGAGTGAACGTTGCCTAGATTTGGCAAACGCGGCGTTAACGAGAACAAAGGAATAAACGGAACAACGGCACTTGGTCGCTAAGCGCATTCAAGTGGCGACGTCACAAAACAACGGCGCTTCCACATCGTGAAGATGAAGCGCATGCAGAGTGTGTAGTAGGGTAGTGCATAGTGCAGTGTAGCATCGCACGCGAGTGAAGTGTGGATAGTAGAACGCAGCTCGTAGTGAGGGGTACACGCTGGATGTCGATGCCCTAAACAGCTTTGTGGGGGTCGCGATCTCAGTCGAGGCCCCCCCTCCACTGGGGCTGGAGGCTACTTGCAAGCGAATTGATCGACGGTCCACGGGCAAAGCTTGCACTTGACGTTCTCCTTGAGCTGTTCCTTGCACCCGCACTGCATCTCCACCGTGACTGGGGAGGGAACAGCAGAGGGGAGAGAGCTAATGAGATCATCGCAATTGTGCAACCGCCATTAACGTCGAGGTGAACAAAATCTCCGCGCACTTCTCCTCCCGACGTTGTCAAACGACCAGAGGTCGCAACCGGGTACCCGATACCCGGCTACCCGTACCCGGCCGTACCCGGCCGGGTACGGGTAGCCGTTTGCGATCCTGGTGCGACCGGGTACGGGTAGACCGTGAGTCACTGGTGAGTCACCGTTTGTCACTCATTTCCCAACGTCTTGTCTCTTCTCACAATTCAAGTTCCTAGAATCAACCCACCCGCGCCTGCAACATGGCTTCGTCCCAGAGGTCGCAAGCGGGTACCCGAAACCCGGCCGGGTACGGGTAGGGTACGGGTACGGCCGGGTACCCGCTAGCGACCCTGGTGCGGCCGGATATGGGTACGAGGGGTAAGGAATCAAAACCCGTTTGCGACCTCTGCGAATGACCCGCGGGGAAGCGGCTGTCGCAGAGCCACTGCCGACGATATCCCTTCGAGCAACCTAAGGATCACGGAAAGCAGTTCTACAGAAATGCATTTTCGGTGTGATTGCGTGGTGTACGGTACTGTATAGTAGTGAAGACTAGTGCGTAGTGGTATAGGGACGGTGTGAATAGAGAGAGACGGTGGTGTGTGGCCAGGTGGTCATTACAGTAGTGTAGAGTCGTGGTGTAGAGTAGTGTATAGGATGTGATGTATAGTGTAGTGTAGTGTATAGTTTGTATGTTGAACTTCTTGACACCGTACATAGCCAACCATGCGCTCAGGTGGTGCGGGCAGGGGAAAGACAAACTAAATACTAAAAGCAGTTCTAAAGAAAACAGTGTTCAATCTAGACTAATATCGCGCTTTATATTATCGGAAGAGCATTCCAGACGGCCGCAGACGCTCATCCGAGAGCGCTGCGCGCAATGATGCAGTGACCAGCGTCTCTGTCCGATGGCAGAGCTAGAAAGCCGCCGCTGCTGCTACCAAGATGACCGGAGTTTGTGGAACGATTGACGCTCCTGGACGAGATCATGTTTACACGCTTTCATTGAACTCACTCCGTCTGTTGTCGTATCCTCAAATCTTGTAACTCAATTTCAACCGGGGGTGGGGGGGGGGCCCACCTTGGGAGATGTCGTATCCTCTGTCGCAGCATGTGACGGTGCATTCCTCGGCTGCCTCGGTGTCGTTGCAGCGCTGCCTCCCCACCGCTCCGCTGGTGCTGCCACGGACGCAGTACTCCGGGCTGGCGCTCACGTGGACCAGGTCATACTCCGAGGGCGCCGTCAACCACTCGTTCACCGGCTCCAGACGCCAGCGGGCGGCGCCGCCACTTCCACCGCTCCTGTTGTCCCTCACCAGCCGCATGGCGGAACTTCTGTCGTACTTTCCCTGCAGCCATCATTGACATTATCGTCATCATCATCAGGGGGGGGGAGGATCCGCCATGTTTTCTTTTGAAGTGGTGGTGGTTGAGTGAATGCTGTTAGGGACCCCTCCCCCCGTTTGTAACCCGACTGTGGATTAATCCTCCGGGTGCAGTCTCATCACCGGCAGCCGTGAGCTCACGTTCAGAAAGTCGCCAACGTCGCGAAAGTCTTCGCGCAGCGGCAGGCAGACTCTGTCGCATTCACCGGTTCTGTTGTCGCAACCGCAGTAGTACAACAGTTCTTCCATCACCTGCAGCACCACCACCACGGTCATTGTTACTACCACAATCAGTTACCACCAACACCATCATCATTTGTCACTACCAACCGCCATTCGCCACTAAGTGGATTGTGCCAGGCCGTGTGCACGTTGAGGCCACGTGAAGTGTCCAACGCCCGCTGGCAGGAGGTCACGGGGCAGACCCAGGTGCCACGGGTCGACTGACTGAGATGACTGGCTGATGCACCACCTGTGCCCCCTACTATGCCAACATGCTGTGCTTTAGCCACCCGGCGCTCCGCTCGTTGTTGTGAGCGTCGCTCCTCCACCCTCCGTTGTTGTTGGAGGGCGACTGCCTCCAACTGCCCAGTAGCGTCCTTCACGAGCCTCCTCCACAGAGGCCGATCTTGACACTGCTGGTACCAGTCATCGGCAAGTCCACTCAGCTCCACGTCCTCCTGTACCACATCACTGCATCCCTTCTCTAGCCTGTGCCGCACCCAAGGGTAGTGGCGCAAAGCCAGGCTGCTACTCACAGGAGCAGCAGCACAACGGCTAATGACGAACCATGAGCGTGCTGACTTGGGGGGTTAGATCGGTAAAGGCACGTAGATAGAAAAATAATAAATCACATTTCAACCTGCAACACAAGCAATCGGGTGGCTACAGCAGTAGAACTGCTGAACAAGACAACCCCTAGACAACGATGCCGATCCAAGTATATAAATGTGCAGCATTTCATAAACTGATACTTTTTTCCATAAAAAAACATTTCATACGACAATACCTACAACCCACCCGCCCACTCACCACGCGACCAACTTCGTAGTTGTGCAAATCCATCTGCACGAGTTTCGCCAAAGACTTGCGTTGTCCCCCTCGCCTCCAGCGGTCGTGGACACTCGCGTCCACAAACACCTTGGCGAAATGGGCTCCGTATTCGATGTTACCTCTGGGGTGCAGCAAGGGGTCATAGGTCCAGGTGCAGCTGTCGCGGATCACCTGCGGGGTGTAGCAGGCGCGCGCCACCGCGTGCACCACTCCCGCGGCGGCTGAGGGCGGAGAAGAAGGCGGCCTCGCGAGAGCCTGGCCCCCCCCCCCCCCACAAAACAATTTCATCATTTGTCTATAATGGAGGTTGTTGTTTTTCTATCTAGCGTAGGTCGCCGAAATAGAAACGTCACGTCGTTAAAACAGCCGCCGCGTCCGACCGGCAAGGCTTCGGCACGTAGACAGAACGTGGCGAATTCTTGACTAGTGCAATGACAGGGCTCATGGAACCTGCTGGAAGGTTCTAGAAGGGGGCGTGTCTGGGCTAGAGGTAGAAGGTGGGTCAGTGGGGAAGCTCATGGAACCTGCTGGAAGGTTCTAGAAGGGGGCGTGTCTGGGCTAGAGGTAGAAGGTGGGTCAGTGGGGAAGCTCATGGAACCTGCTGGAAGGTTCTAGAAGGGGGCGTGGCCTAGCTACGCTCGCCGTGTTCCGGCCGCATGTCCGATCCTCTGCACGGCTCCCATCGTCGTCATCGCTGCATTAGTCAGCCAGCTGTGCAGTTAGAAGCCGACGATGGGGCCGTGTAGAAAGGTCGTCCGTGTGTAGCTGAACGTCGAGGGGAAACCCGCTTGTTGCCGGGAGAGGCTCGACACTGGCTCGGACCCGGGGAGACGATCTCCTTACCCGACCGAGGTAAAGGGACGAGCCCATTCTCCGTGGTCCAGTTCGACCGCTTGGCCTGGAACTGGTGCCGATACTCGGCAATCGCCAGCTGGACACCCTCGGCCACGAGCTTCATCAAGTGCGGCTGCTTCTGGCATATTTGGCGCTGTGTGGGGGACAGCCCCGGCGCCATGCTGCACAACAGCAGCGGATGCGTGGAGGGGTCCGACCCGGGGTGTCCACAATGCCAGCGACCTGCAGAGGGAGGGGTGGGGGGGGGTCACGGTGGCCAGGGGATGTTGACTACCTCGCCTGGTATGCAGTAGGTAGTAGGTTCGATCCCAACCCTGACGCCTGCTGCTGCTGTATATTTGGAGTTTGCGTGTCTCTATCATCATCACTGTGGCTAGATATATTTTTAATGACAACATTTATACATTTACGCGATGTAACCCCCCCCCAAAAAAACTCCTGTGGATGATATTGGTCACGAGAGCCCTGCCCGCTACTCGGTGTTAAACAAAACACAAACAGCCGTATGGGGGGGGGGGGGGGGGGGGGTGTGCAAGATATTAGACACTTGTGCGCCCATCGCAGAAGAAGAGTGAAGAGGAAATCAGCGGCGTCTCGCGGTTACCACCAAGAGTCGCTGGCGACTGCCCCCAGCTGTGCCGTGGCGCAGAGTCCCAGCAGCAGCGGGGAGAAGCCCATCGGAGTTCTCATGGCCAGCGACACTGTGCAGAAGAGAAGCAGAGCGGTGGTGACGATGTTCACACCCTCGCATGGTCTGCATATTTTGAGTTTTCATGTCTCACTCATCATCATCATCATCACGGTGGCTGGGAGATGTTAACTTCCTCGCCTGGTACACGGGCTCGAACCCACGACCGCTTGTATACCGGGCGAGAAAGTAAACATCTCCTAGCCACCGTGGTCGTGATGAACTCCAACTGCTGATGTCTGTAGCCGACCGACCTTATAACCACAACGTGCATTGAATGTGTGGGTGGCATCGTTTGGCGCCATGCCATATTCTTGGCCTGCAGTACCGGTCCCGTGTTAACAGGGGGCGCAAGGGCCGAACGAGATTTCCTCGTCTTCTTGGTTCTGTCGGTAAAGTCACGTAAAAGGGAAGTAATAAAATAATAAAAATAAAACATAATAAAATAATTCTCACGACGTTTCGGCCACAACGCAAGCAGCCGTCCTCAGGTGAAGAACAGGTCTGTCGAGAAGACAGAGTCTGAATGACAACCCCAGGCTTAGAGCGTCTTTTTAAGCTGGGTTGGAGGGGGGGGAAGAGCGCCTTGACAAAAGAATTTGCATTTCAAGAGAAATTTAGCATATTTATGGGAAATGCGTAGAAGGTGGGCTGGGGGTTTTCAAAGTCATATTATACCCATGCATTATGCAGGATTAGCAGCATCAAAGGGAGGGGGTCGCATTAACAAAGGGAGGGAATGTTCATAGTATGTAGAAGCAGGAGACCCGCAGCGGAGCAAATAATGCATTCCCTGTGGAGCACACAAGATACACAGTCAATGCCAGTGAGTGGACTGCGGTCTGAAAGTCACCGTAAACGTGAACAACAATCAGTTAAGATCCGAAATGGTTTATTACGTCCTTCCAATGATTGCTGAGCCAGAATCCATCTTCTCGGTTGAAATTGTCTCTGTGTTTATATATGTGGATCGCCTCATGAACGAATCTCTCATGGTAGCCAGATGGCTTGCAGAGAACCTCCGTCTTGGAGAAGTCAATGTCATGTGAGCCCACTGATATTGTAACAGTGATCTGCCACGGCTGAGGTGTTTGTCTTACCGTGTTTCAGGTCTGCTTTATGTTCACGGATACGATCCGAGACATGTCGTTTGGTTTCTCCAATGTAACTGCTACCACAGAGGCAACTTAGTTTGTAGACGCCAGGGTACTGTATATCTGGAACCACGTCTTTTACAGATGGGACCAGATCACGGATTTATGTACCTGTGTTGAATCGGACCTGGATCTTGTGTTTAATCAGGATTTTGGAGATCTTTTTTGTGACCCCAGCAATGTAGGGTAAGGTGATGGTTTTGATAGGCTCCTCAACAGGATCTTTCTTGATGGTTGGAGTGATGGCCTTGCGGATTGTGTAGTCGGAGTAACCATTAGCCTTAAGAGCTTGGCGTACGTGTTTGAGTTCACTGGCAATGTGTTCCTGGTCGGAGATGCATTGGGCTCTATGGTATAGAGTCTTGATGAGGGAGTTCTTCTGAGATGGATGGTGGTGGGAATCCGGTTTTAGGTAAGCATCCGTGTGGGTGGCTTTCCTGTAGACAGAGTGGCTCATTGAACCATCAGGTCTCCTTTTAATTAGGACATCCAAAAAGGGTAGCTTGCCATCTTTTTCGACTTCCATGGTGAATCTGATGGCTGGGTGTATGGAATTGATGTGGTCGAGGAATTGGTCTAGAACAGGCCGGCCATGTGGCCAGATGACAAAAGTGTCATCTACGTACCTCTTCCATAAGGTCGGGTGTAGAGTGGCAGTCTGGATGGCGTCGGTCTCAAATTTCTCCATGAAAACGTTGGCTACAACCGGAGATAGGGGGGAGCCCATTGGGGTACCCTCAGTTTGTTTGTAGAAAGTTCCATTCCAGGTGAAATATGTATTGGTTAAGCAGTGTCTCACCAGGGGGGGTACCTCAGTATTCAGTCCTTGATGAACCAAGTCTTCAATGATTGCGATGGTGTCAGGTACAGGAACTTTGGTGAATAAGGAAACCACATCAAAACTGACAAGCAGGTCGTCTGGGGACAGGGAAATCCCCTTGATTGTCAATACCAGGTCAGTAGAGTTTAGTACCGCAGAGGTGGTTTTTCCAGTGAAAGGCCGTAGGATTTCAGACAAAAAACGAGCCCTTCTACGTGACTTTACCGAAAGAACCAAGAAGACTAAGTCCCTGCAGTCACGAAAGCTTTAGAGATTTCCTCGATTAAGTAGATAATTCAGTGTGTAACAAAAACATGTTTTATTGTTGTCCCTGTGTAGTGAAGTGTTATTACCTAATAGCTAGTGCCTCAAAAGTAGAGAAAGTGGGCTCTTAATACTCCACACAAACGTTGCTTGTGTGACCCAGGACACAAACGCGAAGTGAATAATCCACTCCATTAATAACAGTGTCACAACAACATTGTCCCTTAGTAGTAAAGTTTTATTATCTAATAGCTTACTGTCTCAAAAGTAGAGAAAGTGGCTATTGTTGTATCTCCACAAATTCTAGATTTGAAGCTTTCGTGATTCGTGACTGCAAGGATTCATACTCTGAGGTTTTTTTCAGGTAAAGTCACGTAGGTAGAAATAAATACATAATTTTTTTACTAATAAATTAAAATAAAATCTCCTCACAAACGTTGCTTGTGACCCGGGACATTGATCAATTTAACTATTTTAAATAAAAAAACGTGGCGTGCATGTGTGTCATCCCTTCACGTAAAGTCCTGCTCACAAACGCAAAGTTTGTGTGGAATAATACTATCCATTAAACATACTTTGTAGGCAATAACCAATTTAGCAACACACAACACTTTACTACGCAGGGTCAGACCTCGTGTTAGGTAGTCACCCGGCAGCGGTGTTCTCGTTGTTGTTGTTGAACTAATAAATATAATCTAGATATGCAAGGAGACCCATGCATTGTATAGGTAAACCCACTAAAAGAAACTCCTTAAAAAAAACATTTTTATACAAATTTATTTTTTATTTAAAAAATTGTAACATTTTTTTTAAAGAAGTCGAGCGGACAACGTGGAAGTGAAACGACGTGTCGCCCACGAGCTTTGATGCGCGCCACACCACACAGAGAGAGAGGGGGACGAATGAAGTTGAATAATAAAACAACAAGTTTGAGTTGCGCGACACGCGCTCGGCGCTCACCGCGTGTTGCAGAAGCTTCGTGGGCGACGCGATTCCAGAGCTCAGGGGCCGCGGCGTTCTCGATTCCCGGCGGGCAAATAGATATTTAATTAACAAGACGTCCACGCTTTTAAAGAGACGCTTAAGTGATTGACGCCGATTTTTATTGATTGCTTTATCAATTAGGTGTTTTTTATTTAGAGTGATGCACGCACACGACGCAGGTGAGCCTGAGGCACGTGGCGCCTGATTGGTGTGCGGGCAGTACGTTGTCACAGTGAGCACACAGTCTCGTGGATTGGACAACAGGAAGTAGACTAAACATGTTGTTACAAGATGTTGACCACGACAAACAGAGGCATATCACGTGAAGTGAAAGCGTTGAAAAATATAAAGGGGCAGAAATTACTCCATCAAGAAAACTAAATTTTAATTAAAACCCAGTACACATGCAACGTTGAGACAATTTGGTTAACATAGGTGTTCACACACAGTGTGGTTAACATAGGTGTACACACACAGCGTGGTTAACATACAGTGAGGGAAAAAAGTATTTGATCCCCTGCTGATTTTGTACGTTTGCCCACTGACAAAGAAATGATCAGTCTATAATATTAAAGGTAGGTTTATTTGAACAGTGAGAGACAGAATAACAACAAAAATCCAGGAAAAAATGTTATAAATTGATTTGCATTTTAATGAGGGAAATAAGTATTTGACCCCCTCTCAATCAAAAAGATTTCTGGCTCCCAGGTGTCTTTTATACAGGTAACGAGCTGAGATTAGGAGCACACTCTTAAAGGGAGTGCTCCTAATCTCAGCTTGTTAGCTGTATAAAAGACACCTGTTCACAGAAGCAATCAATCAGATTCCAAACTCTCCACCATGGATAAGACCAAAGAGCTCTCCAAGGATGTCAGGGACAATATTGTAGACCTACACAAGGCTAGAATGGACTACAAGACCATCGCCAAGCAGCTTGGTGAAAAGGTGACAACAGTTGGTGCGATTATTCGCAAGTGAAATAAACATAAAAGAACTGTCAATCTCCCTCGGCCTGGGGCTCCATGCAAGATCTCACCTCGTGGAGTTGCAATGATCATGAGAACGGTGAGGAATCAGCCTAGGACTACACGGAAGGATCTTGTCAATAATCTCAAGGCAGCTGGGACCATAGTCACCAAGAAAACAGTTGGTAACACACTACGCCGAGAAGGACTGAAATCATGCAGCGCCCGCAAGGTCCCCCTGCTCAAGAAAGCACATATACATGCCCGTCTGAAGTTTGCCAATGA